CTTGTCCCTCCCAATAATAGAAATACACCCCCACCTTGTCCCTCCCCTACCCCCTCCCTTTAAGATAAACTGTGTAATGTGTGTAGTAATACATTTCAAATACATCCCCACCTTGTCCCTCCTCTACCCCCTCCCTTTAAGATAAACTGTGTAGTGTGTGTAGTAATACATTTCAAATAAATTACAACTCAACCTATGACTTCTACATGTGAATTTTATAAGGAAATATGAGTGCCAAGTCATCAGGATAAGCTTGGAGTTGAAAAAAACTTACTCTGCTTGATTCCAGTCCTATTCCTCTGGATTCCTCTGAATTCCTCTGGAATTCCTCTGGATTCCTCTGGAATTCCTCTGGAATTCCACTGGAATGACTCTATTCCTGCAGGATTCCCCTGGAATTCCACTGGAATGATCCCATTCCTGCAGGATTCCTGCAGGAATAGGTGGGGCACTGTAAAGTACTGGAATCAACTGTTACATTAATTACGATAGAAACACGCGCTAACGGCATGTGAGGTGCTATGGTTCTGTATAAAATACGAAACAATGTCTCTATCTCTGTAAATCGCCCAGCTTCGTAATGGCCCGAGGTAGAGGCAGAAAACCGACACAGCAGCCAGCACCTCCTCGTACAGCTGGCCGTAGAGCAGTGCCAGTCAACTTTCGTGACGATCCCGGTTCTGGAGAAGAATTAGACTTCACTCCTTTGGATGAACATTCTGCTGATGAAGATGTACAACGACCGATCTCTCCTGCGAGTGTCGAGCCTGTAGCTGGCTCTGCTGCCTCCACCAGACCTGTCACGCCTTCTGAGCGAGCCTCAGAACCCTCACGGAGCCGAACAGCCCCAGATATTGATTTTTTCTTTGAATGTGGATCCAAGGCGCCTCCAGTAAGCAGAACTCTATGTAAGCTATGCAGGTATGTGGTCCTCGATAATTTTATACATTGTACTGACAAGGATTGTTATGTAGGGCGAATGGGATAGACTTGCGCCAGGGTGCAGGCAGCTTCTCAGCGAGCACCTCAAATGGTCCATTGCGCAACCACCTCCTAAGCCGCCACAAGGATCCATATCTCCAGAAGTGTCGCGAAATGAGATGGAAAGTCCCTGCACTCGCGAGCGAAACTGGAACAGCCCCGGTGCCCCATGGAACACAACATCCACCATTTTCCCAAGAGGCATTGATACAGCATCTTCTGAATTTCATCGTTGCAGACGATCAGGTTGGTCAAGCACTTTTAATGTTTGGTATTAGTCTAACCTTCTTCGCAGTCTATAAATGTTGTTGAATGCCCA